GGATGCTTAAAGCGATTCATACGTCCACTGTTTCCTTTATATATGAGAGTTTATAAGAGGTCGCACGTAATGAACAGCGAGCAGAGGTACAATAACTTATTATTCATAGAGAATATCAAGTTGGTCTCTTTCTCATAGGTTATCTTTGCTTTGAAAATAGAGATTACAATCAGAATCAAAATGAGAGAGGGAGTCATCTATTTATAATAGCTGAATTCAAGGTAATGATTACAAATCTACAAGTGTATAGGTGTCGTGCAAGTCCTTCCTTGCCTCCCATTGGCTGATAACTTAAGAAATATCCTCAAATTATCTAGGGCTTGGATAGGTGTACGATCCTCATTCACTTATAGACAAAACCTGAATCTGCTAGGTTGATGACAACCATATTCTTTCTATCTTGGGGCGATATGACAGCTTCTAAATGACGCTAAACTTTCCTGAATTCTGATTGGTGCTTGTTGATGTAAGCTTACATCAACCTTGATTTTTTAGGCATAACAACTGTCATGATCTTAAGGTTGGTGATGCTATGATTTTTCTATTGTCTTTCTATTCTTCAATAAGTATCTTATTTCTAGTTTCAATCCAGGTGTCTCCTGTTTGTTTCTCTTTCTCACAAGAGTGCACAATGTGAAGTTTTTTGAGGTTCAAGTTCTAAAAGCTTCTTTAGAGCCATCTTACCAAGCTTTAGGTTTCGATGTGTTCAGATCGCACCAAATAGTATACCCCACATTCCAGCATTTGGTTTCATTTTCATTCCCCTCACCATGTTAAAGGCTTCATGTAATCTCCCAGCGTAGCCTAGCAAATCAACCAAGCATGCGTAATGATCTACCAGAGATTCTATACACTTCAGTAATGCATTTAAACAGTTTTAAGCCCTCATCAACTAGATCAGCAGCCACCCTTTCCATTCCATCTCTTCGAAGAGTTTAACCCTAATGCATTTAAATGGTTCACAAGTTTTCTGATCTCTATCATTATGCAAACACCCAACAATCATTGTGTTCCAAGAAACTAAGTTTTTGCGAGGCATTTTCTCGAATAGTTGAAATGCATCACTAATTCTGCCATTACGAGCAAAGGCGGCTGGAGATCATTGAATTGTATGTTATAGTATTCTTCTGGATCATTTTTGAGAATATTTTGATAGCTTCTTCAATCCGACCCGACTTCCCCAACTGAGTAATTCTCAGGTTCTGGTTAAAGACATGACCACCTCATTCTCCAATTGATTGGAGCTTTTGCTTCATGGCTTACAACGATTCTACAAACTTCGTCCACATCAATGAGTTTTCAAAACAGTTTTCCTGGTTGGTTATGTAGTTTTGTTAGAGCTTTGGCCTGTCTTTAAAAATTTTAAAGAAAAAAAAATTAAACAAAAATTAGATTCGAGACGAAGTAATAATATTGTTGGAAAAGGAAAAAGCTATATTTTATAAATAAGATGATACATAGTTTCACTCAAAGAACAAAATTCATATGAGATTGGCATAAAAATTATCAAAACTTTTCTAAGGGACAAATTGAGTAAGTGCCCCTAAGTTACGCAGTTATATAATAAGCTTATAAGCATCCTAAATATCAATACGCAAAATGTCCTGAAGTAGAGGGGGGTAAAGTTGCGCCCGGGCGATCCCAGGCCTAGGCACTCAAGGATCGGTCTCAATTTGGGATCGGTCCCTGAGGGATTGGGTCTAAATTGGCTGGGACAGTCCTAGGCCCGTCACTTTTGTAAGGGTCCAGACTGGTCCCAAGCCTGAGCACGACCTGTATAGGATCGGCCTTGGGACTGGTCCTATGTAGGCATGATAAATATCTATTTAGCCCCTTAATTTTTTTTATATATTTGGAGTAATATATAATTATGTAAGGGGGTTTTATAATTTATCGGGGGGTAATTTGTCAAATTTTAATAGATTTCATATATTATAGGGGGTTTTGGTTATTTTTGAGTTTTGATTATTTGGTAAAGGGTATTCTAAAATTAACCCGTCCCAAGCCTGGGCCTGGGCCTGACCACCCCTCCCCAGGGCCCGGGTTTTTTGCCCACTCTACCAGCAAGGCGGCCACATACTATTTAAAGTTTAAACTACTGCATGCCAGCCGAACAACCAGGCAAACCTACCCGTATATTCTAAACAGAGAAGGTGGATAATCAGTTGTGAATTCGAATTCAGCCAATCGGTTCAGAGAATTGCATCACTTTCATCTAAGTAACACCTAAGAGGTTCAAGTGTACTTTCACCTACATAAGCAATCGCTGCAAAATGGATCTCAGCATTAAATGCATTTTCTGCAAAGATTTTTGTTGACCTGAAATATTTCTTAAAGAAACTAGAAGTCAAATATGTATCTCTATACAGTTTCGTACAGGCGCACCAAGCATTAACAAAAATAGTAGATTAATGTTGTTTAGTACCGATTTTGCATCTCCAAGATCAGCATAGATGAACTGAAGACGTCCGGGCTCTGGAAATAGCTTTTGGAGAATTTTAACAGCACCCATATTGCCTCTGGAAAGATTATCCTGTTGCCGTAAGCAAGAGTTTTTGAATTAATGAAACATAGAGACATATTTATTGAAATTGTTTTCAATGACTGAGAAAGATTCTTCCAGAATGAAATATACCGCTCCCATGAGAGCCTATATAGCCAGCACCTCCAGTGACTAAGACATGAGTCACTCTTGTTTCATGGCGGGAGAACTGGAAATGTAATGAAAAAGTTAATGTTACATTGCAAAGAAAGATGTCTCAAGATATAAAGAAAGGGCCATTTTCAGTACCCATAACAAAGAAAGCAGAATTCTTCTGAAGAAAAGCATTGGAAGAAAATCAGTTGTAATTCAGAATTTTTAACAGAATTTTGGGTGCTAAAAGCGCAATGAATGGTATTAAAGGATCAGAAACATACTGCATTGAGGGTGCTAAAATCAGATGAAGTTGTGAAGATAATAATGAAAACAGTTGCCAGGAGGGCAGCCACAAGAATTCTGCCATCTCCTGTACTGGTCGTTCCTGTCTGTACCGGCCGTTCCATTTCCTGTAACAGCCGTTCCGGTTACGCGCAAAATCCCCAATTTCCTGAAACGCCCGTTCCAGTTTCAAGAACGCCCATTCCTCGATTTATATATAGCTTGTGCGCAAAATCATGAACACATGGTGACTCCTCAGGATTTAGCTGAATGGTTAGATTGAATGCCACTTTTCTACACAAGATGGGAGTGATCAGGCAAAATAGGAATAAAGAATGGGAAATGGTTCCAGTAGAGGAGGAAGAAGGAGCACCCGGTCAAGAAGCAGAATCTGTAAGACAGGATGAGCCGACATCCTGTTCCGCAAGAGGAAAGAGAACCAGATCCGAAGATGGACCGTCATATTAGATCAGCTTGGTTCTATTTCTTCCAGACTTGATCATGGGTTTGAAAGGATCGAGCGACGATTTGAGCAACTTGACGAGTGGTTCCAGACTCTTGATGCTCTGATTGATAGTCTTTTAGATTAGTTCCAGCGCTTTACTGCATCTTCATCCCATTATCCTCCACCTCCAGTGGAGTCTTAGTGTCTATATTTTTCAGTTTTTCAGAGTCTTGTTCTCGTTTTTCCAGATCTTTGAAACTTATTGCACATTAAGGGTACATTTTCCTTATGGTTTATGCTTATGATTTGATTATTAATGAAATGTGCTAATCTTTTTAGTTTACAATTTGAGAAATGGCTTATGAATTCTGATTTGTGATATGAATTATACTTGTTATTTCTATTCATCATATTATGAAAAGAGTAATATTAGCCTTACAAAGAGTCATATAAAGCTTATGGTTGAATGTGGCCCTTTTATTTTTGCTTGATGACAAAAAATGGGAGATATGTAGGGGTATTCATAAACGGTTAACCGAACCGGTTAATTGATTTCTGAACCGAATAACCGATTTTTGAACCGAAACCAAACCGGTTAAGGGGAAAACCGGTTTTCTGATCGGTTAGTAAAAACTGGTTAATCGGTTTCGAACCGGTTTTTCCTTAAACTTAAATCTTATTTTGATTTTTCCCTAATTTAAACTAGTTTTATAATTTATTATTTTTATTAACTCGTTCCCATAATCCCATAAGCCGGTAACTGAACCGAAAAATTGGTTTTTGTATTTCTGTGAACCAAAACTGAACCGATTTTCTGGATAATCGAAAAACCGGTTCGGTTTGGTTTTTGCATTTTTTTAAACACCTGTAGAGATACGTTATATTGGGAGAAGTAATGTGTATGCAAAAAGTAATGAGACGTAATGAGTGTGTATGCAATTTTTTGTGTTGTTGGATATTGAATAATTTTATGTAAGTAATGTGTTAAGTAATGAGTAAATGGAGTATAAGTGCGTGTAATGCAATGTGTATGTAATGATACAAAATATGAATTTGTGTGTGTGGAAATTGAATAGAAGTATATGACAAAAAAGGGGAGAGAATTTGAAGTTAATGTGATGTTTAAACATATTAGGGTTTTACAGCACGAAGTGGTAATATCTTGAAGCCTACGGGACTATTTGACAACATGCCTAGTGGAAATGTTGTTTCTTGGAATGCTATGATTGTAGCTTATGTTCAAACCTTCCAAATTGATGAGGCTGTTAAGCTATTTATGGAAACGTCGGGGAGGGTAACCAATAATGGGTTGGCCGAGTGGTAAAGGCTTGGGATCAAGGGGTTTGCTTCCCTTGCGGTCTCAGGTTCGAATCACAAAAACAATTGTTAATATTGTTGGTCACGGATCATAAGGTTTGTCCTATTTTAGAAGCCTTGTTCGGGGTTGGAAGACTAGTCGAGGTATAATGGATGAAGCTCTTAATTGATATAAACAAATGGTCAATAAAGACATAGTTACTAGGAATACTATGATTGGTGTTTATGCTAAATTGGACATATGGATAATGCACTTTAAGATCTTGAAGTGATGAGGAACAGGAATATAGTTTCTTGGAATTCAGTAATTGCTGGTTTTCTGGTGTTACAGAAAGTTAACTTGAAAACCATTAAGTTTGGAACTTGGAAATAGTCATCCTCCAACCAATTTTAATTGTTAAGTATTACCAGTCTATGACAATCAAGAAAGCAGAAGATCTTAATATCCAATAGAATCAGATCTCGTTTAATCCTAATAGCTACTTGTGGGTGGAACAGCTGCATATTCTCTGTCCATAACCTCAATGACCTTATTGGCTATTGCACCAGCATAAACAGAGGATCCTTCGTATATCTGCAAAATTAGAAACAAATATAAATATCTCATAAAACACTCCATGGAGAAGATGGGTTTGGTAAAGAAGAGCAATCCACATCCACCACCTTTGTGTTGAACAAAAAGCTGTAGTAATTGCCAATTTGGCCACCGGCAACATGGTGGAGATCCAACTGAAGCTCGTCAAGAACTTCGGAAACAAGCAACAAGCAGTCAATCTTCTTTCTCTGAATGAGTTTGATGGTTACTTCATCATCAATGACACGAACATCAACCTCAGTATCCTTGGATTTTCTCTGAAGCCAGGAACTCCTTACAGAACCATTATAGGACTGCTCGGGATCATCAAGAGGCCTTATGTTACAACTGTCAACATCCCCTCCAGCATCGTCTTCTGTCTTGTGCCTCTTGCTTCTCTCTATACCACATCTTTTTCTCTCTAGCAATAATTTGAGCTCGTTAACTGTACTAAGAAGCTGTTTGATGTACTCAATAGCATCTCCCAAAATCGAGGCTCTATCGGGCTTTGTTATGTAAAATTGTTATATTAGCGGCCATTATGATATAATATAAACATTATCATGAAATTAAAGAGAAGCAAAAACAAGTACCTTGGTAGGTTTAGGAATCAGATTCCTCAAGACTGTGAACTTGGTACCGAAGTGTTCTCTCTTTTGCCGCTCCGTGGTAAAGGGCTTTGTCATCTTGCCAGTTTCACTCCCTCTAACAATACAAGCAGTGTCCCTTGTGAACTCCAGCATCCCTCCATCCCCATCTTGGTACGCAGTTACTCCGCTTGAATCTCTCTCATCCCCAAACAAAGAATTAGCACCACCTTGGGATAAAGATAACAAAGGAGGTAAAGGAGGTTGTGGGGGCAGGTTGAGATGAAATAACGGATCATACCAAACGGATGTGCTATCTGAGGCTGGGAGGTCTCCTATAAAGCCCAAAGGAGTAGTGTCATGGTTTGAGTTTGAGAAGGAGATGGAAGAATTTGGAAGCAAAGAGGATCTGGGCAAGTGAAAGAGATTGAGAAGGTCTGCTGTTTGGGGTAATGAATTGATATCAAAGCTCCTATGGCCATTTTGTTGTGGGTCATCTTGATTAATACCTATATCACCAGCGTTCCAGTTAAAGTGATCATTTGAAAGAAGCTGATTTGGGTCGTCATCGCAGTTTTTCACATTGAAGGCCAGATGCTTTTGAAACTCTAGTTCCATTGCGGAAACAACTGCATCTTCTTGGTGATTGTGGTGATAATAAGAGAGTTCGTCAGCAGAGAGCTTCATATTCTCTTCAAACTGCTTCTGGACAGCTCCAGAATCTGCCCTCTCTGCCATGGATTTATTGGGATTGAAGCACCCTGGTTCCTCATACATTTTAGAATGGTTAATCTCTGCATCAGTCAAATGAGAAAAACAATACATGTAAGTTGAATAAATTTAAAAAAAAAAATAAAAAATGAGAACTACAAGTTATGGAATAAAACTTTAACCTTTGAAAATGGCAATACAAAATTAATCCAAATATGCCAGAGATAAAAGCAAGAATAAAAACATACCCCCCATGATTATGATCGCCAACAAAACTCCAAAGTGCCTGGTTTTTAGCGGATCTTTTCAAGAAAGGTTTATGCGACTAAGGTTTAACTGCTATCCGGGAATATCTTTCTATGTTAGGTAGCGGTGGCCATTGAGTGACCTGTCTGAGCTGATCCGACACCAAGTGGCCGCACCTCTGAAGACTCAGTATGAAACAGAAAGATGGAGACCGATGTTGCAGGAGGTAGACACCGTTATAGAGAGAGTGTTTGGAATAATGGAGACATGTTATAAACAGAATTACATATAGGAAGGAAAGACTAATGGATTTTCTTTCTTTCATGTACAGAGTCTGTTACTGATATTCCTCACTCTGGGCTCCACTTGTTTGCAGTTTTTGACTCTTCTTTCTCCTGAGTATTCACACCATTTGTGTAATCTGTTAAAGTGCGTTACTTTAGATGGAGCTTTAAATCAGTGTCTATGGACCCTACCATGTCAAACTAACTACTCCTCCTCTTTTTTTTTTTTTTTTNTGGTTAATCTCTGCATCAGTCAAATGAGAAAAACAATACATGTCAGTTGAATAAATTTGAAAAAAATAAAAAAATAAAAATGAGAACTACAAGTTATGGAATAAAACTTTAACCTTTGAAAATGGCAATACAAAATTAATCCAAATATGCCAGAGATAAAAGCAAGAATAAAAACATACCCCCCATGATTATGATCGCCAACGAAATTCCAAAGTGTCTGGTTTTTAGCGGATCTTTTCAAGAAAGGTTTATGCGACTAAGATTTAAGTGCTATCCGGGAATATCTTTCAATGTTAGCTAGCGGGGGCCATTGAGTGACCTGTCTGAGCTGATCCGACACCAAGTGGCCGCACCTCTGAAGACTCAATATGAAACAGAAAGATGGAGACCTACGTTGCAGGAGGTAGACACCGTCATAGAGAGAGTGTTTGGAATAATGGAGACATGTTATAAACAGAATTACATAGAGGAAGGAAAGACTAATGGATTTTCTTTCTTTTATGTATAGAGTTTGTTACTGATATTCCTGACTCTGGGCTCCACTTGTTTGCAGTTTTTGATTCTTCTTTCTCCCGAGAATTCACACCATTTGTGTAATCTGTTAAAGTGTGTTAGTTTAGGTGGGAGCTTTAAATCAGTGTGTATGGACCCTACCATCTCAAACTAACTACCCCGCCTTTTTTTTTTTTTTAATCGAAGGTGTTTAAATCAGTTTATATCGCATCTCTACAGTTGATAGTCGAGTAAGTCTTCCTAATGATTACCCCTATTCGTAACTCAGGTAGATCAAACTGAAGATTTTTTAAACTAATTACTTGAATTCTTTCACTGTTTACTACAGGACATGTTGTACGTGTTCATGATGTAATGAATAAATCCCTGTTCTTCTTCTTCGGTACTTATTACCTTGACTTGCCTACTCATAAATCAAAAATCAAAAATCAGATAAGAACTTTGACATCTTGTGTTGGTTTATTTGTGGTTGAGTAGTTTTAATTGTTCCTTTTTCCATCAAGATTACTATCGAAGAGATTCAAACTTTAATTATATATAGAGGTGGGAATTAGGCCCAAACCCAAAAAGTCTAGCCTAAAAAACCGATCTTATGATCGATCCTATAAAGATTAGTTCTAAGACTGGACCGGCCCTGATCAGAGGCTAGGGCCCAAACCCCCCTCCCCAATTTCCTTTTAATCCCTATAAAATATCCAAAACCCCCTATTTAATATGAAATTGATAATAAATACAAGGGTTAAAATAAAATTTAAAAAATTTGTCCAGGCCATACGACCGGTCCTATTGGCCCATGACCAATCCCTAATTGTTTGGGCCCGAGCCCAAACCCTGAGGACCCAGGCCCAAGACCAATTGAGCATGGACCTTTCCCACCTCTAATTATACATGACCAAGTTAATAGGTGAGGTATAATTCCCTGCAAGATTGATCAACCAAAGCCAAATTAAGACAAATCTTGATGAAATTACATGGTTTTACATGGGTTCGGACTAACATTTAGAATTGGATGAACTCGTGATCTCAAACCTGACTCATTGTCATTCCTGGTCGGTTTTTATCGAGCTGATAGCATGACTAGTAGCGTAGTTTTTCCCCTTTTATAGTCATGGAATGTGCACAAATTATTAGTTACAAGTAATGGCACACACTTGTAATACAAAATCTAATTTAATGTTCATAAATGATAACCCCATATATATATGCACACTTAGATGTATTGAACTCATGGCTATGGAAGTACAAATTCATCTCCAAGTACAGATGTTCACAAACTTTGCTTCTCTACATTTGGACACCATGTTTCTAATGCTTCAAACTCTCAATCTCTACAACCACTATACATGGACAAAGATTCTGCAAAATTTTGGAGAATAAGACCTAGCTTGAAGGGGCTAATTGAAACAACTTCTCGGCTTGGTCCGGGAAGAAGGTGATGAATAGAAATGCACCTGCAAATTTGATAAAATACGAGTATGGTACATGATAAATCAAAGAATTTGAGCATAATGTAGCGAAAGTTTGAATAAGTATCGGACTTACAGATAAGCACGGTTCCCAGTACAGCTGAAATCTTGCCTTGAATCGTCACCAAACCAGCTTTTCCAGCATTTTGCAGCTCGGTGGAACCAACAGAATCAAAAGTACCTGCAGAAAGAAGTGAATCTTCTTAAACCTTGCATAGGGAAGAAGTGGCGTTGTGCAATATAGAAGTTAACGGAGTTGAGAGTTTTAACCTGGTTTTACTGCCTGGAGCCCTGATGTTATACATGCTATGTTTTGGAAACCGGCTCGCTCTAACTTATTAGCTGCAGCGGCAGACCTTGACAGTAAAAAGAAAATGAATCCTGTAAATGGTTTCTAGATCAGGCGAAAATGATGAGATGTGAAGTAACATAAAACAGAAGGCATCTATGAAACACATCAATAGATTATAACTACATTAGTAATTGTACTTGTACTAAACATTTCAATACTTGTAATTTACATTCCTGGAAATCACAACAAACTCTGATGTCCCAAAAATTCCAAAGTGCTAATATGGAATTCAAGTATTTCAATGTAGCAACTTAATTTCTCAATTTATAGCTTTATAGATTGGTATATTGCATACATTTGTCTACTATTATGGTGTCGACATGATGACAAATGATTTTCTATTTTTCTCCTGGTAATCAAGTGTGGGGAGTTGAATGCAAAAATAACGAATCTTGTGACTGTTCCTCATCAAGACGTTTAAAGTCTAATCATGCATTATCAGGTCAAACAACTACCAGAATATGAAAAACTAACCTCAATCCTTCCTGACATACAAGCAACAATTTACTTTCAGATGAAAACTGGTTCTTAAGAGATTGAACAAATTCAGGATTCTCTTTAGTAAATGGCAACCCAAAGAATAAACCCGAAAAATTGTTGTGCACAGTCCTCTTTATAACTGTGCCTGCACAAACAGAAACCGAAAGCAGTTGAGTGACATTTGCAATCATTATATAGACCAGTTAACCATATTGTTCAAGTAAACTTAATGAGCCAGAAATGGACAGACACCATTAAGCTAGATAAAGAAGCAAGAAGGTTTACCAATATCACTGTCTTTATTTTCGATAAAAAGAGGCATGTGGTAACATGATTTTATATGAGCACGATCGAATTGAGATTTGTCCCGAACATCAACAACTGTATAACCCTCCACTGCTACCAGTTTCTTTGCTTCTTCATCATTCACATAATTCACTTCTGCCCTCAACTTCAAATTTCTCCGATGAATTTGTTTCCCTGACACGGTTCTCCCAGGATGAGTCTTAAATTCCAACCAAGTTGTCCGCAATTTGCTGAAAAACACATTCTTAATACCTTACTTACGTGTTCATAAGTATTCAACTTTAATGCTTACAATAGTTCACTGCCTACTTCCTCTACATAAGAATAATAATAACTTAATCATCACAAGTCTAACTATTTCAAGTTTTTTGTTTCCTCTAAAATTCCTAAATGACCTTGTTTTATAAACTCTTAGNATGGATCAACCAAAGCCAAATTAAGACAAATCTTGATGAAATTACATGGTTTTACATGGGTTCGGACTAACATTTAGAATTGGATGAACTCGTGATCTCAAACCTGACTCATTGTCATTCCTGGTCGGTTTTTATCGAGCTGATAGCATGACTAGTAGCGTAGTTTTTCCCCTTTTATAGTCATGGAATGTGCACAAATTATTAGTTACAAGTAATGGCACACACTTGTAATACAAAATCTAATTTAATGTTCATAAATGATAACCCCATATATATATGCACACTTAGATGTATTGAACTCATGGCTATGGAAGTACAAATTCATCTCCAATTACAGATGTTCACAAACTTTGCTTCTCTACATTTGGACACCATGTTTCTAATGCTTCAAACTCTCAATCTCTACAACCACTATACATGGACAAAGATTCTGCAAAATTTTGGAGAATAAGACCTAGCTTGCAGGGGCTAATTGAAACAACTTCTCGGCTTGGTCCGGGAAGAAGGTGATGAATAGAAATGCACCTGAAAATTTGATAAAATACGAGTATGGTACATGATAAATCAAAGAATTTGAGCATAATGTAGCGAAAGTTTGAATAAGTATCGGACTTACAGATAAGCACGGTTCCCAGTACAGCTGAAATCTTGCCTTGAATCGTCACCAAACCAGCTTTTCCAGCATTTTGCAGCTCGGTGGAACCAACAGAATCAAAAGTACCTGCAGAAAGAAGTGAATCTTCTTAAACCTTGCATAGGGAAGAAGTGGCGTTGTGCAATATAGAAGTTAACGGAGTTGAGAGTTTTAACCTGGTTTTACTGCCTGGAGCCCTGATGTTATACATGCTATGTTTTGGAAACCGGCTCGCTCTAACTTATTAGCTGCAGCGGCAGACCTTGACAGTAAAAAGAAAATGAATCCTGTAAATGGTTTCTAGATCAGGCGAAAATGATGAGATGTGAAGTAACATAAAACAGAAGGCATCTATGAAACACATCAATAGATTATAACTACATTAGTAATTGTACTTGTACTAAACATTTCAATACTTGTAATTTACATTCCTGGAAATCACAACAAACTCTGATGTCCCAAAAATTCCAAAGTGCTAATATGGAATTCAAGTATTTCAATGTAGCAACTTAATTTCTCAATTTATAGCTTTATAGATTGGTATATTGCATACATTTGTCTACTATTATGGTGTCGACATGATGACAAATGATTTTCTATTTTTCTCCTGGTAATCAAGTGTGGGGAGTTGAATGCAAAAATAACGAATCTTGTGACTGTTCCTCATCAAGACGTTTAAAGTCTAATCATGCATTATCAGGTCAAACAACTACCAGAATATGAAAAACTAACCTCAATCCTTCCTGACATACAAGCAACAATTTACTTTCAGATGAAAACTGGTTCTTAAGAGATTGAACAAATTCAGGATTCTCTTTAGTAAATGGCAACCCAAAGAATAAACCCGAAAAATTGTTGTGCACAGTCCTCTTTATAACTGTGCCTGCACAAACAGAAACCGAAAGCAGTTGAGTGACATTTGCAATCATTATATAGACCAGTTAACCATATTGTTCAAGTAAACTTAATGAGCCAGAAATGGACAGACACCATTAAGCTAGATAAAGAAGCAAGAAGGTTTACCAATATCACTGTCTTTATTTTCGATAAAAAGAGGCATGTGGTAACATGATTTTATATGAGCACGATCGAATTGAGATTTGTCCCGAACATCAACAACTGTATAACCCTCCACTGCTACCAGTTTCTTTGCTTCTTCATCATTCACATAATTCACTTCTGCCCTCAACTTCAAATTTCTCCGATGAATTTGTTTCCCTGACACGGTTCTCCCAGGATGAGTCTTAAATTCCAACCAAGTTGTCCGCAATTTGCTGAAAAACACATTCTTAATACCTTACTTACGTGTTCATAAGTATTCAACTTTAATGCTTACAATAGTTCACTGCCTACTTCCTCTACATAAGAATAATAATAACTTAATCATCACAAGTCTAACTATTTCAAGTTTTTTGTTTCCTCTAAAATTCCTAAATGACCTTGTTTTATAAACTCTTAGTAACAAGAACAAGTAAAAAACACTCTTTGAGGGGGAAAATGACATCTTGGATTTTCATTAGTACGGACCTAATAAAAGTCCATTGTCGATGGACCTAATAAAAGTCCATTGTAGTCGACATACACAAGAGTTTTTCGCCATTTTCTCAGCATATAAATGGAGGATCAAGTTCAATTTCAATGGAATACACATTGAAGCAGCACATAAATTAGCCATAAGCCAATAGAAAGCCACTCAAATTTCACACACTTTTCCTCAATTTAAGATAATGATCAAATAGCATACCCAATTCTCAAAACAAAGTAATCCCATTTACCCTTGATGAAGACTAATACTGCAAAAACTCACATTTTCTCCATTTTCTCAGAAAATTACTGGAGAGGGTCAATTTCAATTTCAATGGAAAACAGTAAATAGTCATTTGAAATGCCAACAAAACACACACTGAAGTTTCACATCAGTTAGGCCTAAAACTCAATAGAAAGCCACTGAAATTTTCATATACTTTTATTGATCAAACAGCAAAAACAAATCATAAAAAATCAGCATCATGAACTCAAAACAAACTGATCCCCTCCACCTTAGAGGCTAAATTTCCCATTTTTTCTGCTTAGCAGCGTACATTACAGCAAAAAAGGAACTAACTTTTGGAAACTTACAAGTTAACCATTAAGTTACAACATTAAAGCTTGTGAATTTTTGGTTTATGAATCCCACATTCTTCAAAATTAACTTTAACTTTAAAGTACTGTTATTGAAAGAAAGAAAGAAAAAGTTTGTACCTTCCGGAAGGAAGAAGAAGTGAAGGGGGAGCAATAATTCCAGCCATTGAGAAGAAAGAGACGTTGAATTGTTAAAGCTTCTAGCTTTCTCTCTCTCTCTGTGTTGAAAGTGTGAGTGATTAGTCGAAAATAGAGACAGCCATGAGAGTGGTGGCCCATGAAATTTAGGAGGCGCAATGGGTTGCTGCCACGTTGACTTGAGTATTGGATATATTTGTCCGAGCCCCCAAGGCTTTATGGTTTGGATTTTAGAATATGCCAGAAAAAAAGAGATTTTTATTTTCTAGGAATTCAAATTTGACCCCTTTTGTTTAGGGTAATAAAGTTGAGTTCTACATGTTTAAGAAACTAACAAAAGCACCCAAAAATTAACCTTCGATAAAAACTTATATAAACAGTCTTACCATATTTTGTTATGCTAAGGTGTAAAAAGAAAATGGATATATGATAAATTGCATTCACTTGTAAATATTATCATATGTTATACATCTGTCATTTACCTAAAGATGAGTCTATTAAACAATGTTGTTTACCTACCGTTATAAGTCCAAAATTAAACTCATTTCTATCTGACATGGAACCTTAACATTCTCTTTAGTTCACAAAGACTCAATCCATTGCAATCCTACTTGGGATGACAACAACAATCTGGATGAATGACATTTTTTTTTTCTTTTTGATGATCGGAGGTGTTCGAGCTAGCTTACGTATACTTCAACCAATCCCCAAAACTTTAGAACTACCGATCAGGACTCAAACTCAAGAGATCATGTTAGCAGTCGTGAAAACTCAAACTCAGGAGATCATGTTAAATCCTCCTCCTACTCTTTTATCATTAAGTAGACTAAAACTTTAGAGATCATATTAGATCCTCATTTACTCTTTTACCATTAGTCCACGCATCGGTCGTATTTTCCTTATAAACATCCTTTTCTTGCAAGTAGTTTGACAAAGAATATTAATAATCCAACAAATATCTAGCCAATGTAATCTCTAATCTCTATTTGGTAGATTTTCCTTGATAAACTTTGACTGATAGGTTAAGACGACAATGATGGCTGTTATTTAAAGATTCACTTAAAACACTAAACAGATATATATTACTGATATACAGATACAGCCTTTATCAGCAGTAAAGAGACAAAAGATTAATGGGGTTTTTATCATCTTTATGTTGCTGCTTTTATTATCATTATCCTGTTGAGGCATCAAGTGATAGATATGGGGAAGCTCAGGCTCATCAGTCTCTGAAGTCTAAATTCATTCAAAGAGAAAATCAAGCCCCCCCAGTTCTTGTTCCTCACTTCCCTGTCTGCTGCAAACTATTTCGTTTGTAATTTATTTGTTTTGATTCTTCAAGTTATATGCTGTATTATCAATCTCATACTGTATTATCGATACATATGACGGATCTTTATGTATAATATTACTGATTTTCGAGTATGATGTTCATGTTCATGTTATAATTTTATGCGTAATATTACTGATATTGAATTGATATGGAAGAAAACCTTAAATCCTTGTTCATTACTGCTTACATCTGGATTAGGCCTTGTGATAATTATCATTGATCTTTATTATGCTTCTGGAAATATTTCATGTTCTACAGGCTGTATGCTCATATCTTAAACAGTCTTGAATCTTGATACTGTTAAAGAGAACTTGTAGAAATATTGCGGGTAGTGTTTTAATAACCAACGCGGAGGGAAAACCGGAAAAGTGGCAGAGTCCTGGGTTGACCGGTTTAACTGATCATATAAGTCCCTACAAGTTTGAAATCTTTCAAAAGAACCCTAAACACCACCGGCGACGACAAACCAAGGCAAATAAGGCATGTTTCCAACGACAACAACACTCCCTAACACCACGAAAACACTCCCTCCAATCTCTTGACCAAAACCCATCTTACCCCTCCCTCGTTCACCTTGCCAATTGCCACCTATAGATCATTGTTGCCGTCGATTTATTTTTGCAATTTTCGATCGTTTCACTCACTAGAAATCACTTTCGTCGTCACCATTGCACTCATTGACCCTTCCTTTTTAATACCCCCAACATCTCAACCTTTAATTGTTCGCCGATCGTCGTCTTAATTGTAGGGTTTTTTATGAATAGTAAAATTGGTAACCCGGCCCGGTGAAGGCCTTGGGTCTCGGCTGGGGCTGGGCTGGGTTTTAAAACCATAAGTTTAAAGCAGTTGCTCAAATATATTGATACTGAAAACTAAAGCAAGAGCTCAAGAATGGGGTTATGTTCATAGGAACAATTCTTCCATGCATCGGGTGCACATACAACCGCTCAATGAGGGTGCACGTGATGACATGGCACATCCTTATTGATAAGTAGTCCGTGCATTGGAAGCACACAAGAATTGTTCCTGCGCACTCAAAGAAATGCTGCTTTGATCTTTCATCTCTGATATTTGCAAGTTAAATGCTAAGTTCTTCTGAAATGGATTTCAACAGAACTTGGCGCGCACGGTGCCAAGAAACAATCAGGGATTGTTGTAAAGATGTACCATGAACACGATTATGTATGAAGAACCATTTGAATAAACAAGAAAACTTGTTTCTGGTTAAAGAGATGAATCATAATTGTTCTTGGTATGAATATCAAATTATCACAAAGCTTATGAAAAATGGCCTCAAATTCAGAACTGCATCTAGCAGAGCAAAATGACAGCTTATTTATTCCAAACATCTGTTCACGCTCTAAAAACTTACAAGTTAAAACAATGAAATAGAGCTTAGAGTATGGTTACATCTCTGAAGCAAACATACAGCAAGTTTGAGTAACACAGTGACCAACTCCGTCTCATGGATTTGCCCTTGGCTTCTTTTTGATGGTAGAACTGAGAAATCATTGATCAACTGTGGATCTTTTCTTTGTGGTGTAAGGGTAATATTCCTTGCCGGTGTCTACTCTTGTAGTTTGACCGCCAGCATCAATTAAAGCAGAAGTAACAGCAAGTGCTGTGCCAGCAGAAAGAGCTGTTGAAATACTTCTTCCTGCAAACGGAATCGCACATCAACTTATTTAATTGATAAAAAATACAAGTTTAAGGCAAAGAAGCAGATTGGATTGACATCAACATAGGTAACATCAACTGAAGATTCAAGTTGTTTCACTCAAGTGCAAGAGATGACTTATGTACACTCATTCTGATTATATAGTTAATATTTAAAAAAATAAATGAGGGTTAAACAAGATCGTATGCCAATTGGAACAAAGCTCGAAAATCCAACAGATGTTGACGAAATTTCTATAAGGAAAAGTTTAATTAAAGAAGCCAAGGAACTTCAAAAGCTTAATTTTTGAATTTTCAGCATTATCAATGCCAATGGCACTAACTTGAGATTAACAAGGGGAAGACGTTCAATCTGAGAATTGTATAACAAGTAATGTGAAGCATCCTGGTAACTGATACTCAATCTGGCATGTTTTCCACGGCCATACAATTAATAGACTATGTTGGATTCAGATCCTTGCCAAAACATATTGCTATGATACCAGTACAGAACAACCGCCCAATAACGAATCAAAATCTTCTCAGAATTCCCACAAAATATTAATTTTTGCATTCTTATTTCAGAATAAACTTCTACACTCAGGCATCCTAAATTCCTCCATAAAAATATCAGGACAGTGGTTTCTACATACTAAGAAAACATATATTCCAAGTAGACCAACCTTATATAAAGGAATACTATGTCATACAAATGGAAAATATAAAGGCTCAAGAAAGTATGAGCAGCAGTGAAAGTAAGAATTGGTGATCCAATGATTAGAAAATTCAAAACTGCCCGTAATGTGAAATAAACCACCAACACATGCACATTACATCACTTTAATTATTGTGACATTTAGCAAAAGCATGTGAATACAATATATGAAAAGGGAACATTTCAATAATTTTGAACTCAAACATAAGCATATTAGCATCTTAGTTATTAAGCGGAAAATGATTTGAGAACAGCACAAAATGGTGATCCAAGTTATAGTAGCCAGCAGCATAATATAACATGGTGAACCACAAGCCAGAGTAGTCAGCAGCATAATATATATACCAAGATTTTCACAACTAATCCACAGACAGGTTGTTGGTTGATGAGATCACAGAAACATACACTGAAATCAACCATTCCTTGTCTAATCAATAAAAGCAATTCGTTAACCTTCATCTACAAATTTCTCATTACCAGGTTTTCACCTCAACGATCTATCATTGTCAAGCCACTTGAAGACTGATGCTAAAAATAAGGAAATAAATGCAAGACGTAAATTTAACACATAGGAATGACCAAAGATCTTGTATTCATAGGAACAAAGAAATTAAAAGTCAAAACCCCCACTAAATATATATAGGAAGAATGAAAAGGAATGCAAGCAACAAGAACAGTTAGTCAACAGGTAGAAAGCATAACATGTCTTATTGCCTTCTGCAAAGCTCGAGAGCAATAGCAAGCTATCAAGCTTTGAAGAGTGAAATTTTCTTCAAAACATAAAAGAGAACAAAAAGAATCATCAAAATATGCAAATTGATGTACCCCAAAGGCATCCAAGAAATATATTGTTGACTATTTGTCTCATGAAGCCATATCAAATGTCACATAAATTCATGACAGTAAGGATAAAAATAAAATAGAACAATCCATGAAAAAAAAATCACCTTTGAAGCCAAGAATAGATGCCCCAGCAACAAAACCTCCAACAGCTCCATTGACAAAATCTCTCTTCGTCCTGTAATTCTCCACGAGCTGCTCAACGCCGATGTAAACTCCCCCGATAGCAGCAAATGTCAAACCATAATTACCCATCATCTTCAGCGTCCTCAGCAACCCTGGAAGCGCTACACTTCTCTCAACACGAGGCACATCATACCAAGTAGCAACAGCGGTTCCCCAGATAGTCCCAGTAGCCAAACCCATTGTTGCACCCTTAAACGTTTTCATCAAAGGAGTATCATCATTCTCCAAATACCTACGCTCTGCTGGGTCCATCACTTTATCCTAAACAGGTTCTACACCAATTCACAAACACATCAAAATACCAGCCATTAGATCACATTCCAACCCTTCAAAAACATAAAAATTATCCCAATACAATTTTAAGAGCAAAGTTTGAAACCCAAACCCTTCTTTTGAATATCAGCAAACATTACAAAATCACATTAAGCAGAAATGAAACTTAATGTAAGCAAATAAACCACTAAATCAAATCGAAACAACGTTAAGGAATCCAAAAACCAAACTTATGATAAGTCCATCACTTTCTCTCAAATGGGTACTAAGCCAATTCACAAACCCATCAAAACACAAACTACTAAACCACATCCCAACCCTTCAAAAACATCAAACACAGGCCGATACAAAGACGAGCACAAGTTAAACACTGAAAATGGGTTCTTTTCATTTTCTATCTCCAAAAAGATCACGATAAATTAGAAACTGAAACTTAACCAACACAAAAAGTACCAAATAACCACTAATTCAAATCAAAACAGCGTTAATGAATCCAAATACACAAAATTATGATGGGTCCATCACTTCCTCTTAATCGGATACTAAACCAGTTCACAAACCCATCAAAATCCCACCTATTAGACCACATTCCAAACCTTGAAAAAATTAAAATCACCCCAATATATTCTTCAAAATGGATTCTTTTCATTTTTTTTCTTAATTATTTCTAACAAAATCACATAAAACTTCAATAAAAATAAACAAAAACCAAATAAACAATTAAATCAAATCAAAACTTCTATCAAATGAAATTCCGGGCTATCTTTTTCAAGATCAATTCGGGCATTGATCGAAGCGAAGCAAACCCTAGAGACGAAACTAAAAAGGGAGCGCCCAAGCTCTGATTTTGATGGTCAAAAAAGTGAAATTAAAAAGCGAATTTATGAAGAAACAAAGTGATTAATGAATTAAAAAGAGGAAAAAATACGTACGTTTTGATAATCTGATTCGAAGAAGACGCGCGAGCGTGTTTTTACTCTTCACTGTAAAAGAGATGGGTTCAACTAAGAATTGTGTTGAGGCTTCAACTGAATGAAGCAGTACTTGTCTTTCCCATTTTGCCCTCAGTCTTTTATCATTTTTCACCATTTTGTTTGTTTTTTTTTTAAATTTTGTTTTGTTTTTAAATTTTGTTATTACCATTTTGTTTTTTTTTTCTTTTTTGTCGGTAGTCAGAGGGTTTGAGAATTTTTTTTTCCTGAAAGGGTATTTTGAGTTTGTTAGATGAAATTAAAAAAGAAAATTAGAAAGTTGCAGATTATGTTTTTAAATTAATTTTTTTATTTAAAAATTAGTTAACCGATAACCGTACCGATGATTCGGAAAAATAATCTAATCTGATTTCAGTTTGAATTATCATTTAAACCGAAAAACTAATTAATTTAAAAATTAGACAATTCGATTTGGTTAATTGAATTTCTACACCATTAGAAAAACCATGCCTAAGATTTATGATAACCGGGCTTTTATTTTTCTAACATATCCGAATTCTAATCCGAACAAGCCCCATCTAAGTCTGAGGTAATATTATTTTATAATTTACATTAAATTATAAATTTTATTTGATTTTTTTTACAATAAAAATACTTTTAGTCAATAATTATAATTAATAAATAAATATCCAAGTTTGTATAAGTATCGGACTGTTCTTAATTCGACCCGTTTACCATGTAACCCGGATCCACTTTCTCAAACAAATTCTGCAGGAGCGAAGAGATGCCAAACATAACGAACTCAAACTCGAACTTCAACTCAGTCTCTTTCTCTCTCTCCTTGAAACATGCAGTCGGCTGAAGACATTCGCAATCTTCCAATCGACATAACATTTTCTCGTCTCGGAGGTAATGACCTGATCCGCTCTTTAAACTTCAATTTCACGATTTTTCTTCTTTTTTTATATTTTAAATTTCGAATAATTGATTGTATTTTACTTTTCTTTTTTTAATAATTTTTAATACTTTTGAAGAATGGTTGGTTGATCGGAAGCGAATACCGTCCGATTGGAGAAAACGAATGGCTGTGATCAGAGCTAAAATTTCGAAGGAGTTCGCTTCGTTGCCCAAGGATATCGATCCTTATTTTCAAACCCTTGACACTGAAGGTTTTTTTTTTTTTTTTGAATAATTTTATAATTTATGTGGATTTTTTGAAATCATTATTGCACAATTTATTTACTGTGAAATTTGTGAGAGTGTATTCATTTTATTGCATTAGGTAAGATATTGGGTAAGAAATTGGGAGTACTTTTTGCGAAGCATTTGTTGAAAGAGTGTTTATCCAGTGCTTTTCTTAAAAATGATTCAAGAGCTTTCTAACCATAAAATGTGCTTTGTAGAATTGCATGTATACTAGTCTTCAAACAAGCTGTTTTTTATTTTATTTTTATTTTTATTTTTTGGTAAATTTATTTACTTCAAAAGCACTTATATTGAGTGCTTTTGAAGTGTGCTTGAGATTGATTTTGAGTGAATTGGTTTTGCTGAAGCATTTTTGAAGAAGTGCTTTTTCTAAAATATGCTTTTGGAAAATTTACCTATGAAGGCTTCAAAGTACTTCAATTTTTAGTTCAAAAGCACTTCTATTGATTTTCATCAAACACTACTAAATTTACATGAAAATAGTCCTTTGTTTCCTCCGGAGAAAATATAAATTGATGACTTCAACTGCTTGCTAGGATTCTCATATTTTTATCTATTGAATTTAATATTTGAATTGAAAATGCTTGGGGTTCATCTTGAAGTGGGAGTCATTAGTATATAAACATTGTATGATGAATTGAATACTGTTTCCAGGGATCAGTTACTTAGAGGCCAAAAAGATATATGAAATTCTTCTGAAGTCAACCCCAGAAAGCCGGAATATATTTGGCCGGCTATCAGGTGCTGCTGTAAGACAGTTCTCTCTTGCGCTTTTGATTTCTCGGTCCCTGTCCTCACTGCATCTTTATAGTTATTGTTAACTGTATTTGAATTTTCTGGCAGGGTTCCTGGGAAGCAATTGTACATTCTTTTGAGAAAGATCATATTTACCTTGGTGAGGCTGCTCAAATTATGGTTCAAAACGTAAATTACGAAATGTAAGTTTGAGCTTTTGTCATAACCTTTTGATGACTATACATAGGAGTTGTTTGATGTCTGCCTGATAATAATTATGGATCAAATTGCTTTTCAAATGTGAAGTCCATATCAGAAGAAACAGGTGCAAAAGATTCAGCAACAATTAGCCGAACTTGATCGCAAGGAAGCTGATATAAAAAGAAGTGCAGCTCTATCGGCAGCTAAATATGTTGAAGCTTGTCAAGAGCTTGGTCTGCAGGTTATTATGAGCATTTTACTGATTGTTGACAAGTTGCATCTGATTTGCTTTGTGCAATGTGGTATCTGAATGATAATTGCTTCTCTTTGCAGGGGGAAAATGTGAGGGTTGAACTTTTAGAGACTGCAAATTCACTTCCTAGCACATTTAGCAGGATTTTGGAAGTTATAAATAGTGAGTCTGTGTCACTTGCTGTGGACTATTATTCCAATTTTGTCAGAGACGCTCACACTGAAAAAGATGTAAGGAGATAATTGAATTTTGATTTTTCTCATGGTTATGGCGGAAGCATTCTGCCAAAGTTTCTATGATTTGCAGATGGAGGTTGTCTTTATTGTGATTCATTTCTTTAACTTAACTTGTAATTATTGTTTGCAGAAATCTTCAGAGACTGTCTTATTGAACTTGAAAGACATTCGTGAAAATCCCCCTTCTTTGAATGTTTCTGCAGCTTCTGAGATCCTCAATTCTGCTGATGGTCAATCAAGCTTTAATGATATAAAGCATGTGAGACAAGATATGTATGTTGCTGCTGACAGTATTGACTGGGATATCTCTGTTGAAACTGCTCAGATTGATTGGGATATTGGTACTGTGGAAGAAACAGAAGATACTGGTAATGGTTTGGGTCCATATGAAATAGTTAATGCCAGTGATTTTACACAGAGTTCTTCGACAAATGAAGCTGTGGAAACTGATCGAACTCAATCAAAGAAACAGGAAGACACCCTGCTTCCTGAGGTTTCTGCTTCAGAGATATGTTGGGATGTCAGTGTGGAAACACCTCATGTTGATGTGATTGATGAAGTTAATTTGCCTAATGTTGGCATGGAAAGTCAGACATATGTTCCAGATTCCTTAACTCAAAGCCCAGGAATCAAGGAAGATAGGAGCCAGCTATTGGAGACCGAGTACAGGAATAAGATTCTTGATGATTTGAATGAGGTATATTCTTACTATGTCATTATATCTTGTGAGCTCAAATTACTGCAACATATCTCTTATCTCTTCATTTTGCCCTTTTGAAATCAAGCTTGGTCCTGATGTTTTCTTATCAGATCAAAGCATTTTTGAATCAACGATTGGTAGAGATGGGGAGTCAAGAGACTTTGTCCTTGCGGAATCAGGTCCAATCAGTTGCTCCCTTGGTGTTACAGCAGTATACTACTGATGTCATTGAGACTATGTTGTCTGATGTTAGATCAGCCATTTCCTTGCTGACAAACAGGAAAACACGGGACCTAATCATGATTCTCAACTCCAAGAGGTACTCTTAGATGATTTAAACTGTTGTTAAGTTCCCTTTTTCATTGTTTTGTTGTTTTATATTTATATTGTTAATGAGATTACAAAACCTCTTATTTTGGGATTTTACTTGTAAGAGTGGAAGTTACATAATAAACAGAGACAATTTCCTCGTCTTATTAGGATAAAACCACAAGCATTGGCTAAATAAAATTCTTACTTCTGTGGCAACCTTTTGATAGTACTAGTAGTTACCAGTCAACTTGACTCAGTACCAGTCGGTCTCTGGTCTAACTTGTAATTTTGAGTAAAGATTACTGGCAGCCGAGCACTGAAATTTTGCAGCTCTGAGACAGTGAAAGTGATCGTTACTGACATGCAATATTTTTCTCTGAGACAATGAACAACTGTTAGTTGCCCCAAATTAGTGTTTTGTCTGTAAACGATGAGTAAATGTATATCTTGTTACCACAATGAGAACTTAGTTGGACATGTTATCTTGTGATATGCTACTAGTACATGATTTATTTATTTTTTTTTTTGTAAATCTTTTTATTTTCATCTTTTGGCTTTATAATGGATTTGCTTATTAGTATCTTGTAAATGGCTACTAAATATTGATTTTGATCTTGTATTGCAGATTTCTCGATAGATTGGTTAATACTTTGGAAGAGAAAAAACATCATGAGGTGAAATTGAAAGAGGGTTTGAAAGACGTGGCTGCCAAACGCATGGAACTTCAAAATTCTTTATCTTCATCATGGCCGAAGCAAGTAAGTTTTCTTGCTAGGTTTACCCCAGATAAAAACATTAACATTGTTATGAATGGGAAGTGTTTTGTATCTCAACCACTCAGTTCAGATCTATAGAAAACTAAAACTAGTAAAGATTATCATTCCTTTTCCCTTTCCACGTTTCTCCGAAAATATGATCACCCAAATAAAAGCTCTCCCAAAATGAGGCATTTAGCACTTCAATTAACTGCCTCCCTCCACATATCCCCGTCTTGCTTTTGCACCCACTGTTATGATTGGTGCAAGAATTTCATTTGCAGATTTCGTTATACTAATCGGATTTAGATTATTCTATAGAAATTACTATCAGGCTCTTACACAAATTTTCAACTCGGGGTTCCTCCCTTCTAACACCTCCTTTTAAGCTAAATTTCATCAAATTTTGCATTTTACATTTACATTTCTAGAAAGATAAAGTTTCAAATTCACTCAAAATCTTTTTGGAAGATGAAATAGTAGATTTACTTGCAATTCGATAGATTTTCATTACAGAATATTAATTATTGATTTTTCTTTACAATTGCAGGAAGCAGCTCTTGCAAAAACTAGAGAGCTGAAGAAGGTATGCGAAAGTACGCTTTCATCTATGTTTGATGGAAGACCGGTGAACATAATCGGAGAGATTAATACCTTGTTGAATAGCGGGATTAGTACATAAACTTAAGATTAGATATTTGTTTATTACGACAAAAATAAATTTTAAGTTAGAAAGGGATGATTGTAGTTTGATCATAGATTTTTTTTTTTTTGATATTTTTAAAGAGGTTTTTAATATCTTAAAGGTGTTTGTTTTATAATTATACGGGTGTTTTTAATACTTTCGAAACAAAGTAGATGAGTTGAATATTAAACGAACTCACAGAGGGAAAGATGAAATAAACTCCAGTTTATGGTATATTAAATATGATTTAGTTACTCAAAACACTGTTGGAGAATTATATAGTCCAAAGTCCTATTATATTACAGCGAATAGGAGGTAACGTTACCTGTTACCCCTTATCAATCCTTTGGATCATCTGTTCAGAATTGACTCGAACATGATTTTTCTATAGTATGAAAGATTTACTACAGAGAGATTCAAAGAACACAGCTGCTATACAAAACAACGGATCATTTGGTTCTATGATGCTGATACAGTATTAGGCGATTACAAGTTATACACAATTTGGTAAAATTCAGAGTCTGCATTTGAGTTATTGTACCTGTGTATTGACCAGCTGCTGCAACATTAGATGGACAGATAGCTCACTGCAGGGGAGCTTACGAAATAGTTATGTGTCGAGACGAAAGACCTCTCAAAAGGATCAACTTCAGTACCATCTGCTACGGATTTGCCTTTGTACAAGCTGAACTTTTGACACAAACGACTTAGAGACTCCACGATTTCGGACATTGGAAGTCGGAATTCCTTCTCAGGCTGCTCAAAGTTTTAAATCGAAACAATTCAGTTTTGTTAGCTTAAAGAGGTGAAATATGTGAGATACATTATAGTGTAAAAACTGTGATCTGCCAGGACCTGGATACACAGGGAGATGATATCAGCGAACTGGGAGAGAGCCTTGGAGGGAAAGGTTCCTCTAATCCCAGGATCAACCATCTGCTCCAAATACTCACGGTCATGGAGCCGAGATGAAGCCCATGTTACCAAGGGGAACTCCTTCCTGGAGCTTGAACTGTGTTAAAAATGAACAACAGAGATAAAATGTTGCGAAAACATACAGAAAGAGAGTTATGAGAATGAGCATGAAAGAAACATACCGGTAAAATGGTTTCCTTCCCGTTAATAGCTCCAGCAGTAACACTCCGAAGGCGTATATGTCATACTTTGTGTTATCACTTCCTGGTTCATCGTGTTCAGGCACAATGTAGCCAGTTTGACTGATTGCAAGTTCGGATGCCTGTTTACATTATGGTGCAATGATTGATGATTGATTTTAGATTTCTCAAAATGCATGAGGAAAATGATTAGCAATTGTACTTACCTTCAGTTTAACACTGTCTCTTGCAAGTGGTCTTAAAATAGCTATCCCACAGTCGCTGATACGCGGCATTAGTTCTTCATCCAGTAATATATTTGCAGCCTTAATGTTGCAATGAGCAACAGGAGGCGAGAATGAACAGTGCAGATAGCTGAAACCAAAAACCAGAAAAGGATGAACCAGAGTTCCCACTTCTGCCTCAAAGGCAAAAAATATTGTGTACTTACTTCAGAGCCCGGGCGATACCAAGGGCAATACGGAGACGGATGGCCCATGAAAGAGGATTGAATACTTTACTGTGCAAAGCCTCAGCCAGAGATAAATTTCTGACAAACTCATACACAAGAAGATGCTGTCCATTTTCTACACAATAGCCAAGAAGTGTTACAATGTTTGGGTGCCTCAACTGGGATACCGTCCGAATTACATCAATGAATTGTTCTTCTTCTTGGAAAGACAGTGAAACCATGTTGATGTTCTTCACAGCCAAAGTCTGCCAAAACAAGAAGTAACGAAATTTTATTTCTACAATAAAATGCATGTAATACTCTATGGTAAGTCATAAGAGCAGGTGTATACTTGACCATCAGGAAACTCGGCTTTGTATACGGAACCGAGAGAACCCTGTCCAAGAAGTTTCTCTTCACTGAAGTTATTTGTAACTGATTGAAGTTCTGCGACAGTGTAAAGTTTTGCAAATGGTGGCAATTTAAATGCAGTAGAGAAACTTCTTCTACATGCTGTCTCCGTTCTAAAAGTGCGAACAGAAGGTATATGCCTAGGTCCTAGATTGAATGGGGAGGTGGTAGCCAGGATATGGGGGCTATCTTCAGGTGCAGTAGAAGAATATTCTACAACCAGAATGGGAATGAAAGAACAATGAGAGAAAATTATTAATTAAGCTTTAAATGAGACAAGCACAGCAGGATATTAGAGCCCTCACCTCTGGCTGTACTGATTGGTAGAGAGTGCAGTGTGCTATCACAGCTTTCCAAGCTTTTACGTCTTTGTGCACGAGCTCGATTGATACGGATAGAAATGAAGAGTGCTGCACAGGTCACTACAAGAGCTACACCACCAACTGTGCAAGCTATCCCTCCAAAGCTCATCCCTTTATTGTTGTGTCTGCCTGCTCGGATGGAAGGGAAGTTCTCAACGGCGCTTGACTGAGATGTTGGGGGGCCGCTAATATTATGCCTAATGGGCAAATTATCCAAAGGGAAATCCCATGGTGGAGATTTGGGGTCGACATGGAACTTATTACCCCAAAACCTATAATGACCAGAAGAGGAAAATAAACAAGGTTCAATAATCTTATTGTTAATGCAGGTGAAACTAAAGTAATTAACCAGAACTGAAACTTCGATAACTTACCATAAATTTGGAATTGACTGAAACTGCTTTGGAATAACACCACTGAAATCATTATCTTCGATGTTCCTGACAACAGATAATGAGTGAGCAATTGTCAAAAAACATTTTGTTGCAGAATTCTGTGTCAAGTAGTGTGAAGAAGCTTACAGGTCAGTTAGGGGAAGGTCAGCCAGGTAAACAACTGATCCAGTGAATTTATTATTCTGCAAGAACCTACAGATACACACAAAAAAACGGAGGGAAATCAGCATGATGTATAATCATAGAATGTGACTATGAAGAACACATAATACTCACAGTCCGCTAAGATTTTTCAGAGATCCAAAAGAACTTGGGAGATCTCCACCAAAATTATTGTACGATAGATCCCTGTGACAGCAGGATGAAATTCACTCAGTAAAAGAAAAGAGTGATCATCATACTGAATTAGTTGCAAAAAAATTCAATGAAACCTCCCAACCAGTTTATTTTTATATTCCCTTAAAATTACTAAACTAATGTCTTTCGTTTGACTTCATCAAGAAATCTATGCTAGTAGAGGATATACTGATAAGAAGGAAGACTCGGAATTGGATACTGTTTTCCTTTGACAGAAACCACAAATTTTACAGTCAATAAAGGGACTCGGGATTTTTGCATTGCCTTCCCTCAAAATGCAAAACCAAGGAAACTAGATAGAAAGAACATACAATTCTTTCAGATTCTGCAGGTCTGTAAACACGTTGCCAATGGGTCCAGATAATAAATTGTGGCTTAGATTTCTGCAGAAATGAAGTAAATGATGATAAGTTCATAAAGGAATAATCATAAACCAAAACCAGTAAAAGTGGAAGTCCAGAAATAAGCAACTCACAGATGTCTCAGATGTTTCAAGGTAGGTAAAGACTCTGGTATACTTTGGTTCAATTTGTTACTTGCCATGTTTCTGCATACATTATAAACCCAAAATAGTCATGTTTCTAGAAAATAGAAAAAAGTGTATAATAATTGACACTCCACAAGTAGAAAACATTCATCTTACATATGAGTAGCATTAGGAGGTAATTCATTTGGAATTTCGCCCTCGACATTATTGGAGCTAACATCCCTAACAGAAGAAAACCAGAGTAAAGAACCCACAAAAAAACAAAATAGAATAAATATAAAATAATTAATCTGAGACTGCAAATTACTAACAAATGCTTCAAATGATGAAGATCATTGAGTTTGTTTCCAAGATGTCCACTGAGTTCCAACCCATTAAGTTTTCTGCAAACAATGAGAGCACCAATCAATTCAACGTAAAATAATAATCTCACAGAGTAGTTAAATCAATCAGGTTTATGTGCATTACTTACAGGTATATAACAGATGATCCAGAGCAAGACACTCCAGTCCATGATTCTCCACATGGATCGCCACCTTCCGATCTCCAGCTATTAAGCTGTGGTGGATGATTCAGGGCCATGTACATATCTTGAAGAACTATGACTGCACAAAATCAATGCAAAACACAACAAAATTCACAATCAGATCAAAGGATAACCAAAACATGTGATTTGAGATTTCAAAAATGCCAAGAATCTAAGGAATTATGAACGATTTACTCCAACATACATAACAAAAAAAAAAAAAATATTATAAAATCAGAAAAAGTTTCATATATTTTCCCGTCAAATATTCATTTTCCTTCTAACTGCCAAATTCCCGCCAAAACTTAGAAGTAAATATTTTTCCGGTGGTTCTGTTTGATAGCTGAGAAATTTGAGTAAACGAAAAGAAAATTTATATAATTCAGAAGCTTAACCACATTTTAATTAATTTTCTTGTTTTTCTCTGTTCCACAGTAGTCACAACTTCAAGAATAATAAATTTTCTGTTTCTTTACTCTTCTTGTGTTTTCTCAGCAACCAAACAGAAGGCAAAGAAACATATAATCGAATGATCATCAACAAAAACAGGCAAATGTTCATAGATAAGACTCCGAATTCCAAAGAAAAGATTTATGGAGTCAAGAAACGTCACCGTCAAGAGGATCCGTGGAAGCCAGAGCCTGTAAAGCAAGAATTGTCGAGAAGAAAATGACAGTAAGAAACAAAGACAGACAATCTTTTGCCATATTTTCTTGAAAGAAAATAGAACTTTCCTGGAAAATAAAATCGAAAAAGAAAAAGCGAACGAGTTAGGATCGTATAACTAAAGCAAAAGAAAGCATCAACAGTAAGAGGAATTTATGGTGATGAATGATGAATAATTATGCAGGTAAGTAGGAGCAAAGACCAGTTTGGTTGCCGAGAAAATGATGGAAAGAAACGAAAAGGAGAAGAAGAAGATTAGAGACAGTTTGAGTGATGAGCTGATTAATAACAGTTAATAAGAATCTTTACCGTTAAAAGTCGTTGAGAGCAGTTGCCACGTTGGAAGGCCGTGATTGGGAGTTTTTTATATTTGTGATGTAGAAATTTTTTTTTAAGGGATGATGTTTAAAAGTGTTTTTTGAGAAATACTATTGGATTTTTTTTAGTTTTTTAAGAAAAACAAATATAGCAAATTACTTTTTAGAAGGCATATTATTATTTTTATTTTGAAATAATATTTTAAAATTTAAGTTAAATTTATAATACATTGTAGAAGAGCATTTTTTTGTTTTGTTATCGTTAAAAATGTTTCTAAACTTTTTAAAGCATTTTATCTTAAATAATATTACGTATTCAAAGTTTATAGTTAAAAATATTTGTTATCGTCATATGTTACAAATAAGAGTGTTCATAACTGGTTAACCAATTTTCTGAACTGAACCAATTTTTCGATTCAGAAATTTTCCTCAACTGAAACCGAACTGGTTTAAGAGAAAACCGCTTTTTCGATTAACCAAAAAACCAGTTTTCCCCAATACTTATTTTTTGTTTTTATTTTTCCCTAATTTAACTTATTTTTTATTTTGAGAGGGAAGAGAAAAGTGAAAATCAGTGAGGACTAAAGAGAAATGTGTGTGTTCGTGTGAAAAGAAAAAAAGAGAAATGCATAAAAGGTGAAGAGTAAAGAGAAAAGGATTTGGGGATTTAGGATTTTTTAATTTTAAAGTGAAAACCGATTTTATAAACCTATTCCGGCTAACCGGTTTTAAAATTTCTTTAAACCGGTAACCAAACCGAATTTCTGATTTATGTATTTCCTTGAACCGATTCAATGTAATTTTTGCATTTTTTTTTAACACCCCTGGTTACAAATCTCTGTATCCTAATTTCTATTAAGAAAGCCTTCTCGATATTAATAATTAAAAAAAAAAGTAAACGACATGTTCCCACCCAAATATTAGCAAAAATCCAAATTCCCACCCCTGGTTTCATTTATTCTAGATTCTCACTCTTAAATTAACACGGTTAATGATTTTTTGATTCTGACACAATATAGAAAGTGTTATTATCAAACTGCCCTTTCAAATAAATTAATAAATTATTAATATTTACTATGTTGCTAGAAATAAATGACAAGTTCAGTATAAAATTTGGGGTTACTAATCTCACATGTTTTACAATAATGCTAAATATACAAACAAATCTTACAAAGATTTGTGTAGAAACTGATGTGGCAGAAAATGAACAGAAGAGTGAATATAATGAGTTTTACTTTTTGTATCCACTGTTCCATTCATTTTCTATCACATCAGTTTATACATAAATATTTGTAAAAGTTGTTTGTACACGTAGCATTACTCCATGTTTTAACTACTTACAATATGGAGAATTACTTTAAACCCCCAAACGTTTTTCTAAAACTAAACCCTTGAGGTGTATAATAAGTAAGAGGATATTCTAAGTCCCCTAAGGTTTTCCAAAAGTTAATTAACCCTCTGTCGTATCCATAATCACTCTGAATCCCTAACCCTCTGTTATCCGTCATTGAAAAGTGTTTTTGACACAATTGAAGAATTAAATTTCTACAATATTCTCTCACAACCTCTTACGTGGTAATTCATCATTGATTAACTTGCAAATGAGTATGCGAGACTTATTTTACGAGCTGATTAATAACGAGTTATTACGTCAAGAATTGTAAGAAAATATTATAAGATTGGGTCGTGGATATAGCATTAGTTTTTCTATATTACCCTGCCAGATGAAAGGGCAATAATGCCGTTTTCCTTATAATCAAAACCCTCGGGGGGTTTGGGTAATGTTCTCGTCCGCTGCAGTTTCCCCCACACAAGCCTCCCTACGCGCCGAAGCTCCCCTACCTCTCATGTCTCAACCTTCTCCGCCACATCTGTAGCACGGCCCACCCACTCGGCCACGGTTTGGCCGCCCGCACCCCTTAAGCCCATGGAATCTCTCCGGTTTCTGTTTTATTTGCTTGCCCAGTGTATGGGTTTTAACAATAAGGAGGTCTTTTTTCTTTATTTTTCTTTTGGGTATTGGGTTTGTTTATTCGGTGATTATGATTTTTCTGACGGCTGGTGAATGGTTTATAAAAGTGCGTTATAAATATTTTCATGGGATATAGATGATTAAATTTGTGATTATTGTGATTTGGTTGTTTTATAACAGATACTAGAGTGAGTTCAACCAGATAAAAACAAGTTCTTCATCCACACTTTCATCAACGAAGGAAGAAGAAGTGAACCGGTGCCAGATCAAGAATAGTACCCAAAGTTTTAATCTGTGTCCATTAAAACCCTGATTCACGAACTCCAGTGTCTTTTGTTGAGTATCTTCTGGATGATCAGGGCCTTTCGTCCTTCCTGTTCTGTTTCAAACGAGGATGCCCTTCCCAATAGAATCCATAATCCTTATGAGGAAGAAGCTATCAGGTATCCGAAGGATCTGGGGATGAAGCTGAGCCGTCATCTCCCCCCTTCTTTTCCGGAAATAGAACTAAAGATTAGGGAATCCATTGAATCCCTTGGCGGTGCAGTTTTTTGATAACAACGTGAGACAGAAATTTGAGTCGGAAAATCACACATTGGGTAACACGACATTACCTTACATAAACATATAATAAATATAATAAATTATGCAATTCATGTGTATCACTAAAATAATATACATCATTGAAATGAGAGTAAGATTTGGGATATATAAATATTATTCGATTAAAACAAAGATGATTTATCGATGTTTAAAAGATGATTTATTCGATGTTTAAAAGAAATACACATAAAATAATGGGTATTTTAGAAATAAAATATTTTGAGTGTTTTTTACAATAGTAATACTACACTACAAACTCTTCACGAAATTATTAAAAACGCGACATATTAATTCGTAATAGGTTCCGTTATCTAACGATGAGTTATGTTGACCAATACGAGCTGCACATTAGCGTTAGTGAAAAAAGTTTGTAAGAAGTGGTTATCAGTCTATCTTTATTCTTTTTACAAACACATTTAATACAAAGAGCTTTCTAAATTTAAATTAATAAAGAAGGTTTCTTATAAAAAAAAAAAATGATGATAGAAAAATTTTAAAAAATAAATAAACGTTTATAATATTTTAAAATTTTAAGTAAACCGATAAACTCATGATTTACGACCGAATGACACCCAAAAACAATGTTTAAATAGCAATATTTTTAAAGTATACATGGCTTGTTTGGTTCAAAATTTTGGGTTTTTAGGAAAATTTTTTGAAAAAGTTAAAAAAAGTTGAATTGGGCAGGTATTACGATGTAAGATTACAATTAAGAAAATACCCTCTATGTTTGTTTTTCTACAAAACACCCCCTATAATAAAACATTAAAAGTTAACAAAAACACCTCCAACCCACCCTCAAATACGGACAGCCGACCACCACCGCCGGAGGGTGGCCGAAGTCGCTGTAACAAAAACATTAAAAATATTTAGGGGTATTTAATTAAATTAACAAATTTAAGGGGTTTAAAAAAAGTTAAATAAAGTTGAATAATATTATGAGTTTTTTGGTATTTTACTGTTTAACTTTTTTGGGAATACTAAAAGTAGTATTCCCAAAATCCAACCAAACCAAGCCACTATACTTACAAACTTTTTGTACCAATTTTTTCATACAAATTGATGTGGCAAAAAATGATTGAGTGATTTTAAATTGAAAAAAATTAAATAATTAAAAATAAATTAAATCACCCAATCATCTTTTGTCATATTAGTTTGTATGGAAAAATTTGTATAAAAAATTTGTAAGTGTAATATTATTTGATATCTTTAACATTAAAAGAATTTTTTTGTTCGATAGATAAGTATAATTAAATGGAGAGTAAATAGTCTTTTAAGAGTCTAAATACACCTTGGGCCTAAAGGGGCCCAAAACATGTGAAGGGAAGCCTTATTTTAGAAAGCCCAATCTCTTTCTCCAGCGTCCCTCTCTCCTCTGAGAGACTCAAACATGGCTGAATCAACAAAGAACCAGAGCACCAATGGAGAAGAAGAAGAAGAAGAAGATGATTACATGGGGGACCTCACTCAGTTTATTCCTCCCGAACCCTCTATCCCCACCAAGTCTTCTCTCGGAAAGGTCAGTTTTTTACTTCTACAATTGGTTCTGTTTCAATCTTCGATATGCAATACCAAAACCCTAATTTTACACTGACAACTGAGCAAACGTAAAGTTTTTTTCTTTTGTTTGAATGAGATGAGTAAGGAGAAACTATTTCTAGGTTTTTATGCTGTTTGGTTCTTGTCAAGATGAAAAAAAAAAAAAAAAAAACTTAATTGGTATGAATTGTTGTAGAAATTTATTTTATTTTTGTTGATGCTTTATTTTAAAGGCAACGACTCGTACGTGCAAAGTGCTAAGCGGGCTTAGAAATCACACGTGATATGAAAATATGCAGTGAGCAAATAAATAAGAAAGAGTTTTTAAAATGGTTCGGATGCTCAAAAGCGAATCCTAAGTTTACTGTAGTTATATTAATGGATACTTACAGTCAGGTCGCCTGCAGCGAGCTGAATTACAATCTAGAGAGAATATAGGGAGAGAAATGAAGAATGTATGTTGTTTAAGATTAAAGATAAGTCAATCTCGTAAATGAGAGAAGAGTACTTTATTTATGGTTGAAGGATTCAAGGTAATAATCATGAGTTTGTAGTCCGGCAGGTGTGGTACAATTGCTAACCCACCTCCCATTGGTTGTCTGTACGAGAGACATCCTTAAATTGCATAGGGCTTGGGCAAGTGGACAATTCCTAGCCACTTGCAAGCCTGACATTCACCTGCCGCACTGACGAGTCATACCTCTTCTATCCTTGAGCGACGTAGCAGCGTCTAGACGGCACAAATTCTCCCTGAACTCTGATTGATCCTTGCTGACGAGTGAACACGTCAGCCCTGACTTTTTAGGCATAACAATTTTTTTACAGTTTAATTTTTATAAATTATGATGCAATTTTTTGGATTTTTGGATTAATACAATTTGAAAATGGTTGATTATTGTTTTGGATATAGTCTAAAAATTGTGGCATAACTTGTGTTGAGAAAGTAGATGGAGTATGATGATTGTGCTGATTCTCTGCAGAATCCGAGTAGTCAGCAGATGACTACTCAGTCTTCAAAGAAGAAGTCCAAGACCTTGAATTGGCAGGAACATCGTAAAATTGAAAGAGAGAGAAAGCAACAAGAAGAGGATGAGTTAACCTTGGCCAAAATAGAGGCGCCAATTCCACAATCTAACATTGGGTTCAAGTTGTTGAAGCAAATGGGTTACACGCCTGGTTCGTCACTTGGAAAGGAGGGTGCAGGCAGGGTTGCACCAGTGGGGCTTGAGATTCGAAGGTCACGAGCTGGGATAGGCCGCGAGGATCCACATAAGGAGAAGAGGAAGAGAGAGGAGATTGAGATGGAGAGGAACCGGAGGAAAGAGGAGGCTCTGATGGCAGAGTTTGGGTCTAGGCAAAAGTCACAATGGAAGAGTCGTAGAGTTACCATGAATTTTCATAAGGCAAAGGCAGCTCTTGATCAACTGGAGAACAAAGAAGTAGTGCCAGAGAAGAAGGAGGACGATGAAGAGGGTGAACAAGAAGAAGAGGAAGAGGAAGTAATAACAGAAGAGGTATGTTCTTTAAAATTGTTTTTCTCATTCTAAGATCTGTTTTAGCTAGTTCTTGCTCTTTATACTTCCAAGTTAGAGCAATTTGATTGAGAAATAATTACAAATCAAGCTCCTTGTTGATGAGTTTCTGACTGTGTATTAGTTTGGCTGCATTTGGTGGGTAACATACAAATTTACTATTGCCATTATGGCAACTGGATTATGCATGAAACTATAATTAAAATTGTATCAGTTTGTTAAAGAACTGGCATATTGGTGATTAAACATAATGCAATTTATCTTTTTTGTGATCTGTGAAAGGTATATGCGTGGTTAAGCGCATCCAAACTTAACAAAATTTTGAGTACTCTTGTGTCTTTTGGGCAATTTTTTTTGCCTTGCATAATACTTTTCTCCGGATCTCTATGTGTGCATGTGTGTGTGAGATAAGAGTGAATATGCATTTAAAGTTGTTTTGCTTGACCTAGATATGATATTTCCGATTGTTTGTTTAACTCCTTGATTGCTGTTATTTTTTTGGTTTGTGCTTCTGCACTGTTTTCCTGTTCTTTTGAGAAAATCTTAACTCTTACATCTTGAAAAGGTTAATGGTTACTTTTTGGAGTTTCTGGTGTTTGATGATCTCACCATTAATGGATGCAGGATTTGCAAGATATATTGTTGAAACTGAGAGAGGAATATCAGTACTGTCTCTTCTGTGGAGTTCAGGTAACTATTTCAGTACCCCTTACAACTTAAGAGTCTTTAAGACTTCATGATAAATATTTTGCTAGGACTGCAAAGGCCGCGTTCGTTTATGAACTCATTTCCCCTCTTTCATTTTTTCTGTTTATTTTTCAGTATGAATCATGGGAAGCTCTTTCATCCAACTGCCCTGGAACTAATGAGGATGACCACTAAACGGCATAAATGCAGACATCCAAATGCCCGCTTGTTCAGCAGAATTCCGCAGTTGGAAGTCCTGATGCGTACAATGTAGAGCTCACCTCTGATGTGAGATCGTTGCATAATCCCTTCCATTTGTGCCAATGCCGGTGTCGACCCTTTGTAATGCTGCTTTTTAGAGTCAGCATGAGCTCGAACCAGAAAGAATCAAATCCAGATTTCATTCTAGATCAGAGTTTGCCAGTAAAACAGTATTTTACTGAATGAGTTTGTAAAAGGTCTCCCGAATTATGAGCTGGATTAGATGTGTTACTGTATTGACGTGTTGCTAACTATACACTTGTTTTTTATTAAAGATTGAATGAAAGAATATTAACATCTTAAATCATTATATTATCTACCTGACTCTGAGAATCAAGTAATCAACCCATCTGCATTCCAAACTTGTTCATCTTCAAGAGACTGAACTTTCTATTTCAAGTCACTAGCTGGATCCTGTAATCAAAACAAAAACAAAAACAAAAAATACGTACAAGAAACTCAGTTTCCTGCAACAACGATTTTAGACCAACATCAGCTACTTGTTACTTAACAAACACTAGCTAACTGCTAGTTGGACAGAACAAGGCTTAAACACAGATGTTTTATCAGTAGTTCAGATTACACAACCTTTAAGGACATAAACCTATAGTCAGTTTGGTTGTTATCTCAACAAAAACAAAAGACAAGGTCACCTGCTGGATTGTTTGCAAGAGATTATTCTAATTCATAAGACCAGACACAAAACCAGTGCATTGACTAACTGGAGTTGCCACAAGTTCTGGTTATTCATGTTCCATAAGAACCGGGACACAAAAGGGGGCACTTAAAGTGACCAGTGCATCTGCTGTGTGGGGTCGTCATAATCCCTGGAGTGCTCGAGTTCCATATATTGCTTCCGATTTTGTTGAGATGACTCGAGCTCACCAGAAAACTGACTGTTTACAGGCTGTGACATTGGTCCCAAACCAAGCTGAGGGGGCATTTGCTGTGAACTGCTAGTGGCTTCATTGCCCTTGAAACCCCATGACATGTTTGGATATTGATTAACAGCTGTACCACGAGGCGACGTTGGGTGAGTCATGGATGCACCTGGCGCATGCATCAAGTCACTCACTCCAAGACACACTGATCGGTGTCTGGAGCCCCATGGTTGATTTGACAGAAGAGAGAGAGCACAGCTTGAGTCAGCCACTCCCGTGAAGCATTCACCTGAAGGAATTCCAGGACCGGAAAAACCAGTCCCACCTGTTGAGCCTTGCAGGAATAGATCAGGAGGATTCACAGAATGATTCTGCCACGGTGGTTGTGGAAGATGTCTTGCTGTTGCAGTAGTTTGATTCCCAGGTCCCCGCTCAGGCATTCTTGCCATTGGCCAAGCATCCCTCCCACCAGGCCTTGGGTATGCACTGAAGTCGACAAGAAATCCTCCACCTCTGCTGCTGCTTTCTGTCATTGCAATGTCAAAACATTTGAACTTCTTTCGCAAGAATTGTGAACTGAAGATAACATATATGTGTATATTCCTTTTTTCCTATGATAATTGCGAAAAAATAAAAGAGTGTTGAAAATGAATTTGTACTCATGATGTCTAACCAAAGACAGAAGAAGAGATCCTGCCATAGCGAGTGGCTAACAATGACCCAGGCGGTGGCTTCCTCCGGCGCTCATTATGGCCTGCCAGGCGCCTGCGGCAACTTCTTTTTCCTTGGTCAAATTCAGCAAGCTGATGAAATCTGGGAACACACTACCACATAAGTTATAATTGTCGAGAGACTAAGAAAAACATAAGCACCAATTGTTTTGCAGGAAATCAACCCCAGCAAGATGATAAGGAGTAGAAATAGACGATTATAGCAATTGTCATAACTTAACAATCCTTAATTTCTAGCATTATTCCTGAAAAAATCTCATCAAAGCACATTAGATTGAATTGCTGAACACTTTTAAGTTTTATTCAGACCCTGTGTATTTACTTCAATTTAAATATCAAAAATGCAGGTCATTAACAAATCAATTATCACTACCGAAACATTTCAATAAGAAGCTAATGAAAGTAAACCCCTAGCCTGGAAGAGCTACACTTGTTACTGAAACACAAAGCCTCACAACATGAAGTGCATCTCAAAACATGCCTTCATTATTTGCCGAATGCGCAACCTGACTTGAAGTCATTTTTTGTTATCAATGCAGAGAACTATGATCAAAAGCACTACATAATGAAGCCCCTAAAACATCCAATCAATCTATTCTTTCACTTCTACTTAAAAGAAATTCTATTTGTTTGAAGATGGAGAGTGTAGCACTCAAATATGCCATAATAATCAGCCCCCAAACCATCCAATTAATCTAATTTATCACTTAATACCAGCGATAAAACACTTAAATGTTCATTTTCTAGGATTATGGTCACAGCAATTTGCCATTTTATTTTTAAACATCACATGTTGGCATTTCAGGCTCCATATTTTGCCTTTGTTTTCTTGAACGACAAGACTTTTCTTGCAAATAATGACATGATAATCAAAAGGCATAATTTAAATCCACCCAACCATAATGTAATTTAACATACATTATCTCTAAATGAGACCTACTGCTTAATTCACAACTGAAATTTGAAATAAGTACATTTCATAAACACTGAATTCTCAAATTCATTCTTGGGGAGAGGTTTTTTTGAAAGAAAGCTGGAGACACTGATTAAAGTGGCAACGGTGTAACGCCCATCCTAAACTTCGTCAATCATAAAACTTTATAATGAGTTTATATACACATGCAGACACACATCAAACATGCACATACATGACAAAGAATATCTTTTTCATGAAACTACAACATAAAACAAAGGGTTAAACAGTTAAGACAGCATTGAGTATTGTAGCTATTTATCTCGGGATCTCATTGTAACATAAGCATTGATTGAACAAAAACTAAGTTTACTCAGATACTACCCCATATCTCCGCCATAAAAGATTTATTCAAGGAAAAGTGGGAAGAAAACAATGGGTCCTGAAGATGAGGAGGCGAGAAGAATGATTATAAATGCCTATATATACTTCTAATAAATGACATTGAAATTGTGGAAAAGCAAATTCATAAAATCCTCGGACTAGTAATCTAATCATTCTTATTGAACACAAAAACATGTGTCGATCATTTATGGAAGCGAAACCTCCTATCTTCAACATTGCAAGAGATATTTTAGCAAGAAATGCCTATACAAATGAAACACACCTCAAGAATTTCTTCATAGTCTTGGAGAGACTAGCTAGGTTTTGACCATAACCAAATCAAGAACAAATTACAAAGAACATGAACAAAGTCACAGAATCCCCCCACACATGTACACAGAATACAAATATTAAGAGCCAAAGCATTGTATCAACCAAACACAAAAAAAAACCAAAGGCAAACAACTAAGTCCAAATCAAATCATCCACCAGTATCAAGTCCTCCACAAACATCCAAACACAAAACAACAAGCAACCATACCCATGAATGCACAAGTACCCATTAACCATTAAATAAAGCTCTAAACTTTATTAATAAAAAACACCCAATTAAATAACCAAAAATATCCAAACCTTCATCGAAATCAAAAGTCTATGTTACCACATCAAAGTAACACGTAGGCATTAGCGGTACAACAAGTCAAAAACATACATGATATTCTATTACAAATCACCTTTTAAGTATGAAAATATTTTGATTTGTGGAACCTTTGACAAGGTCTAACTCGTTAGACCAGGCTATAACAAGTCAATACATACATGTTATGTAGATATTGTATTATAGATCACCTTTATGCTTTAGTATAGAAATATATTGATTTGTGATAGCGCTGAAGCGACGCATATGATATTCTAGGTTCTTCCTCAATCAAACAACAAAAACCAAAGCACCTAATCTGACTAGCATGCTATAGATGAACAGTGAAACAAATTTGAAGTCAAGCAAAGCATTTTTCCATTTGAAATAAAAAAGAAAAAAGAAAAAGTTAGAGCTGACCTGCTACACTGTTGGCAAAACCTCTGCTCGAGACCTGCAACAATGACCATGGGAGACTTTGAGTGCATGCCACAAACTTTATGCCTAGAATAGTAAGCCTTAGCATCACTTAGATCCAGTTTACAGCCCTCCACCTGGCACCTTGGCGGCTGCCCACTTTGCACAGCTCCACCACCACTACTACCACCACCACCACTTCTCACTTTCTTCCCTGACCCGGACCCAGAACCGGGTCCGGATGCTTTATCTGGAGCCCCGGAAGCACTACCCACATCCTCAAAGTAGATTTTTTTACCAAACTTGAGACCATTAAGTGACTCAGTACTGGAAGAGTTAAGTGGAGAAGATGAAGAACCACCACCACCACCACTACCACCACCACCACCACCACCACCGTCAGAAAAAGAGCCTGAACCCAGTTCCATAAGTGAGGTCTAGAGTCCATTCATGGTGGTGTTGTGGGTCATGATGATGAAACAAGAGCGTTTGTTTTGTAATAAGTTAGAGAGAGAAAGATAAAGGAAGAAAGAAAGAAAGAAAGAAAGAGAAAAGAGAGAGATATGGACTAAATTTAGTTTAGTTTTAAGAATGGCGAAAGGGGGTGTGGAGAGGTGAGTGAAAAGCTAGCAAATGAGACACCTGACACTGATAGTACTGGCCCATGCCAGCCAGGGAAAGTGTAGTACACTGTGTAAGGAGAGAGAGAGAGAGAGAGGAACAGAGCAAGAGCAAAAGTGAAAGACTCAGAGAGTTTGGTTCGGTTTGGTTGTCAGAAAACAAAAGAGAAAAAAGGGAAAGGAAAGAAAAATGATGATAATAATAAAATAATGGAGGAGAAAAGCTGAAGAAAGAGAAAAGAAAGATTGTACTTTCTTTGTCGCTGGGAAATTCTCCTTCTCCGGTAGCTCAGTTGAGTGAGCTTAACGGAACAAGTCTTTATATGGTTAAAAACTACTTACTACTTCGGGATCTTCCATGACTTAGAAAAAGAAAATTCTTTGCTATTTATAGATTTTGCTATTTGATTGATTATAGCACTCTTATCACGATAAAGGGTTGTTTTTTTTTTTACTTAATGTAAACATTATCTTTTCTGATTCTTAAATCAATCATTCGCGGATCTTCTTAAGAAAAAAAGTGTTATATACTTCTTGTTTAGTTGCACCGTATACTTCATTTTTATTATAGTAATATTAGGTCTACAATCATCTCTCGCAACCTTCGACGTTTCAACTTTTAATTGGTCTATTCGTAATTGGGTAAACGAGACCCATAGAAAGCAAGAAACAAGCGAGACCTATTTTCGAACTAACCAACTGCGAGTTACTAGGTTGTAAGATTAGGATGTAGACCTAATATTACTTTTTGTATTAAGATCGAATTTTTGTTAGGATTCTACATCGAAAGAGCTATCGTCGAGTCAATGTCCACAAAGTGAAAGTCATTGTTGACGTTGACTCTTAAAAACATGATGCACAAATACTTTCTTGTTACGGGAATATGACAAAAAGGAAAAACCTAATAGCCGTGTGTGTATTAGTCAAAATGTGTTTGGTTTTACCATCATATTTAGAAAACATTTTTTTTCGTTATTTTAGAATCAATTATCCACATTGATTGGAATACTAAAGAAACACCCTGAAAACGTATTAGTGTACTAGTCAAAATGACTTTTATTTTATTATTCACCATTGATTTTCTAACGTTCATTAATTGTAAAAAAATAGAAGATGAAAAACATTAAAAACATTTCGATCCATTAGTTAAAATTTATTGGATTTTACAAACTAATAACTCACTAAGATGAAATCGGTACGACGTGGATTAACCTTGGGTTTTCAGGGAATTGGATTCTCACCCATGTTTGTTTTACTCAAGCTAACATTCTTGCTTCTACTTCGTCCACCGTCGTTTGCACGAGTGCTTCCCCCTAAGGCGGAATGCTCCTCTACCAATGCATTTTTACATCCCACAGCTTCAACAGATCGTTTAGCCCCGTTTATCTTTGACACAAGAATGCTCGATCAGTGAGCTATTATTATGCACTCTTTCAAAGGTGGCTGATTCTAGGCAAACCTCCTCCTGTCTCTCACCCCTACCTTTTTTATCACCGAGTAGCCGTGCAATATTATTTGAGTGATTAAAAATCGTAAATATTAATAAATTATCAATATTACAAATTTGACAATTATATATATATATATATAAACAAAGACTTAAACCTTAAGCAAACAAGTAGTTATATCTACACTAAATTTTTGTTGTTTTATGGTAAGATTTTTTGTGTTTGTGGGTACGGTTCTTGTTTCTCGTTCTCTCTGTTTTTTTTTTTTTTTTCCTAGCATTTGGAGCTTGATTTCACTTTTCCAGCTACTGTGAAGAGTGCTGACCTGGTGGTCTAGTTTGAATTTACAATAAAAATTGGATCATTTTAACCTAATAAATTATTATCCAATTTAAATAATATATTTTAATTCAATAGGGTTATTATAAATCAGATGACACTTTTAATAAAAACTTTTCTTTTTACTTTAACTAATTTCTGAAATCCATTTAAATTTAATAGAAACTTATTGTTATATGACACAAATATTAGGAAAAATCATGAGATAATATTTGATAAAAATGTCATCTAGTTTATAATAACCCAATTTAATAACCTAACAAATTAGACAAACTTGGCTTTTTTTTTTTTTTTTTTTAAATTATGAATCCTTAAATTTCAATATGAAATTGCACTTAACTCTTGACAAATAAATCATCCTTACTACCACTCTACAAAATTACATATTAGATTTTCACGTCATACAACTCTTCATTTAATTCTTTCAAAGTAATCCCTTTCCTTGTTCGATAATCTCCCCATTTCTTCCATTTTGTTCGAAGAGTAATCGGGACCAATTTAATTTTGTAACATTCTCAAATTAATTTTGTAAATTTATCCCTAAAATATTGAGTATAATATCTTTCTCAGTCATTGGACTCTTCCTTTGTTCGATAATCTCTTTTGTTTTTCATTTTGTTCTAAAGAGAAACTAAAATTAATATGATTACGGATCAATATTATAGATTTATTACCATATCCCTTGTCCCTTATAGGGTTTGAAATGATATTACAAACAAGTTAGACATATAAAATACAATTTTTAAAGTATTAAAATGCTAAAAATTAATAAAATAGGTCTTGAAGAACTTGAGGAGTAGGTGACTATTTTGGGTAATAGTAGAATTGTTATTGGCAAATGTGAGATTTTATATTAGTTGAACAGGAGATCGGTACTTCTTGGGACTACAAACTTGACTAAATTTTGGGCAGACTGCAATTCAGATGTCTGATTTTGTTTGATTTCAGAGACACCTAATTAAGGACCAATAGCCTTCATAAAGAATTGTCTGTTTCTGGTTTGATTATTACTCTCATGGAGCTAGAAGTTCATGATTTTTAGTTAGCTCTAACTATTATATAGGCTTCGTTTGGTTGGATTTTGGGAATATTACTTTTAGTATTCCCAAAAAAGTTAAACAGTAAAATACCGAAAAACTCACAATATTATTCAATTTTATTCAACATTTTTTAAACCCCCTAAATTTGTTAATTCAATTAAATACCCCTAAATATTTTTAATGTTTTTGTTACGCCGACTCCGGCCACCCTCCGACGGTGGTGGCCAGCTGTCCGTATTTGAGGGTGGATTGGGAGTGTTTTTGTTAACTTTTAATGTTTTATTATAAGGGGTGTTTTGTAAAAAAACAAACATAGGGGGTATTTTACAATTTGTAAATCCTACATCGTAATACCCGCCCAATTCGACTTTTTTTTTAATTTTTTTCAAAAAACTTTTCCCAAAAACACAAAATTGTGAACCAAACGGAGCCATAGTATTTTACAATTTTAATCTTTTCCGATTACAAACTTAAACAAATTTTACGTTATTGTTTTCATACAGTATTCAAAACCTATTTAATTTTCGGCTAATCTTCAAGAAATATTAATATAACAATTCATCGTCACGGACTTTCACTTGAATTGTAAATGCTAAAATGGAGAATCAGACTTGAAACTATATGTCTATATATACTATTCTCAATTCGTCTTAACCATCTGAACTACCCTTAGATGGGTTATGACCATAAACTTGCACATAATCGTTTAATTTTACCTATATTAATTGTTTTTAGCGAGGTTTTGATATTTTTACGAAAGGATTTTTAAATATTTTGAAGGAGACTTGTAATACCTTATGAAAACTTTTGGTATCCACAAAAAATTAAATGATGCAAAAAGAGAGTGTACACTTTGTCATTTAACATATTTAAGTCACTTCAAGTCTAGACTTTTTGTTGGTTTATCAACCACTTTCTTTGGTTGACAACCTCAGTTCGATCTTTAAGGACAAGATAGGGTTTAAAATTGCTAGAGTCAAACCACTTGACCGGATGATAAAACCTTGAGTTATCCAGAGATTTTGTGTTCGAGTATATTAGGTTTATAACGTATTCAGTTGATCCTGACCTGAACACCATTGTTACCAAGAAAACAAAAATTCCTAGATAAATCTATGGATCATCTCCCGAGGTTTGACGAAAATTCTACAATACCCCGTTGGTTCGAGAAACCATCTAACATGCCATAAAGTTTTGAAAAAGCATCACTTACCCTCCTATTCATAAGTCAACTAATGGTCAAAGGTAAGTCAATAAGAGGAGTAAGAGTATCATTTCATCGTTTTGTTAACTTCTTTTTGTTACATTTTGGTGTGACACGAAGTGAATTGATTATCGCTATCTCAATTTGTTGCTCCTTACAAGGTGGAGCTTTGTCTCAATAATCAAGTTCTTTTTTTTTTCTTTTTTTTTTTTTTTTTTTGTTATCCCAATCTTACAAGAAAAGTAAAATAAATCAAACCAATTAGACTTTAGACATGCCTCCTTATAGGGAGCATTTAGAAAATAAAAAAGAAAGTTGTTAGAGATAGTAATTGACATAACATGTTGTTTCTCTTTTTCTTTTATTCCTTTTTATCTTCATAATTGGTATATTTGTTTACACTATAGTAAACAGGAAATCCGAGTGAAAAAGCACTAAGAGTATTCATTATCACCAATGTGTGCTGATACTGTTCGATAACGTTATTGAGTCAATATAAAGCGTAGTATCTAATATTGATAATTAAATTTTTTTAAATAAAAAAAAAAATGATGCAAAGGTACAAGAACGATCATTAACTCAAGTTGATAATAATATGGTGAAGTAAAAGTTGAGTTTTGACCTAACAAGTTTATGTTAATTAATTTTTAAGATTATATCTAAAAACTGTTTTTAAAAAATATTTCAACAAGAGATGTTTCTCTTAATTTTTATTTTAATAAAAAAATGTATTTAAATTTGAAAGCAAGCGGGTAAATTTCTATCTTCTAAAGTAATTAATTTAATATAATATCCAATTAATAACTCACGTGTTCTAATCCTCACAATAACATAAAACATAAGGTTAAATTTTACTCCATTATAAGTTCATAAATATTATCAAATTATTCTC